CGGTGTGGCTGAGGGGGGCTAGAGCTGCCCTCCCCCCACAGGAGATCTAGGCTTGTGGCCCCTCTGGGCAGGGTGAGGGGGTGCACAGGTCTCACACTGGTCTGAATGTCGGGGGTCTCTCATCACCCCCACAGCTGCTGCCCCCTGGCCCAGGAAATGCTTCTGCCCCACAGCCCCACCTCTAACTCCTGGAGATCTTCCCCCTCCCAGCAGGCTGAGGGCCTGCCCTGCTCCTGGGGGAGGGTGGCCCAGGGGCCAGCTGGGTGTGCTTACGGGGAGCTCTCACCCGCTCCTCTCTGAGGGGCCGTCGAGAGGAAGCTGCCCAAGTCCCAGCCGTGGGCCGTGCTGCCCTGTGGTATCCCGCTGGGGGGTTACCCCGCCCGAGCCTCGGGGCAAGCGGCGATTCATGCCCCGGCGCTGCTAGCGGATGGGAACGGGGAGCCCTGCCGGCGCTGCACAAGGGCTGGGCAGGACGGGCTGCGGCCGAGCGCCGACGTTCCCTTCGCGGATCCCTGGCAGGGACGGCGAGAGCCGGGCTGGATGTGGCTACACGGTGCTCCTTGCACCCTTCCGCATGCCCAATGCCCATGGCACTGCCAAGGGCAGGGGCAGCTAGTGCAGGAGATCTTCCCTGGGGGGCAGAGGGGTACGCGGCACCTGCTCTGAACGGCCCTGGCAGGGCGGGCTGGAAGCTGGCTGTCAGCACAGACAGTAAATCGCCACCGTCCCGCCCATTTCCTCTCCAGCGCTCGGAGCCGGGATCTTCTCCGGGTCCCTGGGGTTCATGCCAGGGCCCATCACCGGGGTCTCTGGGCAGCGCCGGCCAGAAGGAGCTGTTTCCCGCCACTCTGCCGGTTTGTGTCTCACAGGCCTGGCAGGCCCCCGGGGCTGAGATGCCGTAACCCCCTGCGGGGGTGGTGGGGGGGTGGCACCGTCATTCAGCTGTTGGTTCCTGCCCCCGCCCCCCGAAATCACCATACAGCCCTCGCTACGTTCCAGAGGGGCCTGGTCCCAAGGGTGGGCTAAGCACCTGCTCTTGGATGGGACCCGGCCCCGTCTGGGTTTTGGCTGTGTGGGGTGGTAAGGCAGGAGAGTGCCACCTTGTGCCCCCCAGCACTGAACCCTAGAGGGGCTGACCCTGCAGGTCTGGGCCCTGGGGGTGCCGGAGGCTTTGTCCCCCTCTAGTGGCTGTAGGCTGAGCTCCTACTGGTTATTTAGCCCCAGTCTGACGTCCAGCCCCAGGGGGCGACGCCCAGCTAGACTTGAGCCCATCGGGGAGCCCCGGGGCCTCCAGCTGGCTCCATCCACCCCCCTGCAGATCATTATCCCGGCCCTTTCCCTTCCCAGCCCTCTGCCCCCCGCGTCGTCTCTGGGCCCATCAGTAGGGTTGCCGGGTGGCCGGTTTCCGACCAGAACGCCCAGTGGAAAGGGACCCGGGTGGCTCCGGTCGACACCGCTGACCAGGCCGTTAAAAGTCCGGTCGGCGGCGCAGTAGGGCTAAGGCAGGCTCCTCGACCGGCCCCGCGCAGCTCCCAGAAGCGGCGGCCTGTCCAGCTCCTGGGGTGGGGGGGCAGCCACAGGGGCTCCGTGCACTGCCCCTGCCCCGAGCGCCGGCTCCGCAGCTCCCATTGGCCAGGAACGACAGCCAATGAGAGCTACAGGGAAGGTGTCTCCAGGTGGGGGCAGCACGTGGAGCCACCCGGCCGCCAGAGAGACCTGCTGGATGCGAGCGGGAGCGAGCGGGTTGAGGAGGCGAACGGGGAGGCGAAGCGGGGGTGGGGGGCGAGGAGCCCCCCTAACAGAACCTCCCCCCCAATGCCTCCTGCCCGCTGGCAGGCCTCGCCAATCAGCGGCTCCCCCTCCCTCCCAGCGTCTCCCACAGATCTGACATTTCGCCATGTCAGGAGGCGCTGGGCGGGGAGGGGAGAGGAGCGAGGGCACAGCGCACTCGGGGGAGGGGGCAGAATTGGGTGGGGGAGGGGCAGGGTGGGAAGAGGCGGGGCAGGGGTAGGGCCTTGGGGGAAGGGGTGGAGGGGGGCAGGACCTCGGGCAGAGCGCCCCCTGGCAGATTAGAAATTTGGTGCCTAGGGCCTGGGCCTGGGCCATGCAGCCCCCAGGGATAGCCCTGCCTGCGCCCCAACCCCCTGCCCCAGCCCTGAGCCCCCTCCCGTGCCCCAACCCCTTGCACCAAGCCTGAGCCCCCTCCCGTGCCCCAACCTCCTGCCCCAAGCCTGAGCCCCCTCCCACAGCCTAA